ATCCTTTTGTCTAATCTAAATCTTGTGTTAAGCTAATGCCTAAACATTTCAAATAAGAATTTGCCCTAAAGCTCTTAATTTATAGTCATTAATACCTGTGTGTATATTCATATAAAATCTGTGCGCAATATACGCCGGGGCGCACTATCTCATGTCAAACAGGGTACTAACAATTTGAGGCTCATTTTTTATACAAAAATTATTTTAATCACTAGCTAACCAAACAAAAATAAATTACACTCACAATGTTACCCTACTAGGTTTTATAAGAATTTATAAAAATATCACACAATTTATATACAATATAAATGTTGGCATTTGGTTACATAATGTTTTTGCAATCAATTAAGGGATTTATTTAATGTTGTAAATTAATAAAACATAAACTTAAAAGGGTGCGAATTGTTTAAAGGGTTCGACACAAACTTATGTTATCCTTTACAATTGCGACATATGTCAGGACATGATAGATGATGTTTACGTTGTATCGTAAAATGTGAGCTAAAACAAATAAACCAAATGACTAATTCATCTATTAACTATTGATCTAAACTTATACTACCAGTAGATTTTAAGCCTGTATTTAGTTAATATTTGTTATCTTAATTGTTACATCTCATGAAGTGGTCATTTAGTTAAAATGTTATTTGTTAAAGTATATTTTGGTCTAATAGTCATTTGGAAAATTTGATATTAGGTCAATAGACCAAGAAAATAATTATTTTAATGCAGTTTCACATTTATTACTAACAATTATAAGTTACAGAATACTGTATGAGAATAATGTCACCATGTACCATAAATTTGATGATTAAAATCAACCCTTATTATTATACTCACTGATATAATATACATAATTACTAAGGATGAAAATTACATGTAATTTATTTTTTCACTCGGTAACTTACGTAACTTACGGTAACTTACGGTATTTCTCGTAAGTTATTATTTCATCACATATAAATATTTTTACACAACATTATTAAATAGTGAATATAAAACAATTCATTTTTACATAAAAACAATATAATAATAATAGAATTGTTAATTAAATAAACAAATTTAACTGAATTCATTTATTTTTGAAAATTAAGTAAGTTAATGTAAATTTTAAAATTTATTAGAGTGAGTTTCAGATATTTCGCCAATAGGTGTCGCTAGTAATGGGTTTGTATGTTACATGTAAGTTATTTTTTGTTTGTAAGTTACACGTAAGTTACGTGTAAGTTACAATGTAAGTTACGTAACTTACAAGAGCTTACATCTCTAGTAAACACTGAAGAAATTTTTTTATATAACTTAAAAATAGTTTTAAAAAATTATTTTCAAACTGTAATTAACATGCTTTGACATGAATGTATATAAAAATTTATTATTATATAAATGCCTGGAACGAGGGTAATGTCCCCTTTCAAAAAATACTTAATTTTTATGCTAAAAAAAGTAAAATCTAATAAATTGCTTACATTTATCAGTTGTCGTGTATTTGTTGCTAACTTTCCTTTCGCTGAGTATTTGGTTCGTGAGTCCATCGAAATAGTCGACGGCTTTGATGTCAAAGGGCTCTAAGTTTAGGAGTTTTCCCAATCGCGGGATCATTACGGATATGATTTGATGCAACCCGGCGTCGACACCCAGTATTTTCTTAGCGTTGCTCACAATGGGATGATTGGGGTTATTGATGGACTGAGGGTTTATACCATAGGCACAGGCGCTGATCACGTCCATGGCGAACGCACCGATGTACTTGCGCATATCTACCGTTTGACCTAGGTGATACGTGAAATATTAGTTGAATAATGATTATTAAGCAAATTTTTAAAAAAAAAATAATAAATATTTAAATATTTAAAATGTATATTGCTAAATAAATTAATTACTTTATCGTTATTACAAGCTGTAATTTTAATAAAAACATTTATACTTATTAAAATGTAAATTTATGTTTTACTTTTGGTCACACAATTTGATATACCTTTTATAAAAGTAAACTGATAAATTTTGGTAATTTATCGTATTTTTAAATAAATTAGTTATTTTAACCTTACTAGAACTGTAGTTTTAGTTTTAAAATATTTTAATTATTTGTATGGAAATTGATGTTTTATTATTGGGCTGATTTCGAGCAAAAGCCAATCTTACAAATGAACTAGATTAAATTTTAAAATTTATAGATAGTCCTGTATCATTGTCGTTAAACGATACCTATTATAAAATCTTTTAATTAATAAATTTGCTTTAAAATACTTAATTTCACTGGATCCATTCACATGACTCAAAATTTTAAAATATTAATAATAAACTAATAAATATCCAGCTTATAAAATTAATTTACAATTCAATAACTTTTAACTTCATAAAACATTAATTTCAAATGAATACCTTGTGACATTTAAAATATTAGACTTTCATTAAAAAGCAAAAATATTAGTTCAAACATAGCATTCAATCAAGTAAACTAACCAACAACATTCATTGCTAGTCAAATATATTATGCAACACAAATTTACAGTTCACAATTAAGTAAATATTTCTATAACCTAATAAGTTCAATTTCAATCAGAGAATTAAAAATAATAACTATTAAATGTGTTTCATGTCATAAATACCTTTTTTCTCGTATTCACTCAAATTGGTGACCAAACCGTCGGAAATGCCCGATATGTGAGCCATCATTGCCCGCAGTTTACCCGACGTGAACACCGGCGACAGTATAGAGCGCTGCCGTTTCCAACCGTCCCCTCCGGGCATAAAAAACAGACTTTTGTCGATCTTAGACGAGCCGTAATGGAAGTGCTTGCGATCGGGAAATATGTGAAAGTCCTTGGTCATTATGTCCCGGAGTAAATCGGGCTCATTGACAACTAGGGACTTTTGGGACACTGTGTAGGTGCCATATACCCGGCCGTATTTTTTGGTGGCCTCCACGGTGTAGTCGTGGTGTACGCCCATAAAGCCACCCGTTTCCACAAACTTTGGCCCTGGTACTCCCATACGGGCCCAGTAGGTGAATCGACGTCGCAATAAGCTAGGATAAATTAGTATGTTGTTTAGATTAGCATTTACTTTGTTATATAGTAGTAAATAGGAAAATAAATTATTAATTGATAGTATTGTTAGAGATTTAACATTTATTATTTATAATTAGAATAGCAAATAATAAATTATTACTTAACTAAATTATTAAATTCATTTTAAAACTGTATTTTAACATTATTTTATATTTACTAAATTATAGCATAATATTTATTTTTAAATGTGGTCAAGGGGGAAACAGCTGATTATTTTTAATTAATTAAAATGTTACTGAACATATTAATGCAATGTTAGTTCATTCACTGTTATTGTCTATAAAATTTTCCTTGTTTAGATAAACCTCGCTGTAAAGTACAGAAATAATTTTCAAAAACTATTAACCACTGTAATTTTATAGAAATTAAAAAAGATATTTGTTTAAAATAAAATTTAACTTTAGAAAATTGGATGAAGTACTTAATTATTAAAGTCTTACTATTTTGAAGTATTAGTTAACAAATTTTATAAATTTTTAATATAATTTTTTATGTTATTAAAATAAACTTCAAAAAATGCTTACATTTATCAACAGTACACTATTGTACAATATGCAAGTAAATGTAAACTTTCTATACAATATTTATAGTAAATTATATAATTAACATAATATAATTATATTATACTTTAATCTACATGCTTTCCCTGAATAAATTTTAGATTATCTTATTTAAATTCAAAATATGTATTTAGCAAGTAACATTTGTTAGTTTTTTAAATAAAATTATTTTTATACTCACATAGCGATCGTTGTAATGATAATCGCAAACACAGCTAAATATGTGCTTAAACTCATCGTTAAAAACCTTTTAACACAATATTAAATCAAATTATTTTTCAAAAGTTCAAATAAAACTATTTTTTAATGTTAATCTATTATCAACCACGACAATAATCATGAATTAAATGTATGATACTAATACTGCACAATGTATAAGCTATTTATATATAAAATCTTTCAGGGGAATTCAAATGCACTCAATTGTATGCACCGGTATATATTTTGTGTATCATCCCTTTACGAACATTTAGTGCACCCAGGGTATTTTAGTATGTTTAGGGCATTTTATTTGATTGTAATAACGAGTTTAGTAATAATTTTTTTGCACTGATAAAAGTTTTAGTGAATTATAAGATTGAATTTTAGTGCAGTTAGTTTGATAAGTATTAACATTGTGTTTGTACTAGTTGCACCAAGCATATAGTTATATAGTAAATAAAAGTGCTAATAGTGCATGGTGTATGTATGTGTATATTTAACTTA